GCATAGACCGCAATACCTGCAGTCATAATACAAACAAAAGAACATAACTCTGATAATGTGCACTGTCCTTGAAGTTGATTGGTCCACACCCAGATAGAAGGGTAAAGAACCAATTATCATATTTTTACTGGCAAATGAGGTCCCCATAGTGTAGATGCTTGCCCCGAGCTCTCATACTCTGATGGTGCATTGTCCTTGAGTTGTGCGCCTTTTGGCGTCATCTGGTCCAACCCATATGAGACTAGGCTCGAAGGAAAGCTGTCTCGGGTGTGGACCAATCAACTTCAAGGACAGTGCACATTATCAGAGTTATGTTCTTTTGTTTGTATTATGACTGCAGGTATTGCGGTCTATGCAAACATGACTCCTTGCAAAAAGGTGTCAGTTTTGTTGCCAGATAGAAGGGTAAAGAACCAATTATCATATTTTTACTGGCAAATGAGGTCCCCATAGTGTAGATGCTTGCCCCGAGCTCTCATACTCTGATGGTGCATTGTCCTTGAGTTGTGCGCCTTTTGGCGTCATCTGGTCCAACCCATATGAGACTAGGCTCGAAGGAAAGCTGTCTCGGGTGTGGACCAATCAACTTCAAGGACAGTGCACATTATCAGAGTTATGTTCTTTTGTTTGTATTATGACTGCAGGTATTGCGGTCTATGCAAACATGACTCCTTGCAAAAAGGTGTCAGTTTTGTTGCCAGATAGAAGGGTAACTCACTTAAACATATACAAATACAACTAAACCATGTTTTATCTTAACAGGTAAAGTCCACTGTGCTATGAGCTTTTTCAGAAGCGACCTGGCCACAAATGATAGCTCAACACAGTAGCTTATCACGTGGACATGTTTTGCAGCAAAATAATCTATAAACTGTCATATCTATGAATGTAGCGGTTCACTACAGATGTTCCTGTAGTGGTGACGCAGTGGGGTTACAGTGAGGGAAAAAAGTATTTGATCCCCTGCTGATTTTGTACGTTTGCCCACTGACAAAGAAATTATCAGTCTATAATTTTAATGGTAGGTTTATTTGAACAGTGAGAGACAGAATAACAACAACAAAATCCAGAAAAACGCATGTCAAAAATGTTATAAATTGATTTGCATTTTAATAAGGGAAATAAGTATTTGACCCCTCTGCAAAACATGACTTAGTACTTGGTGGCAAAACCCTTGTTGGCAATCACAGAGGTCAGACGTTTCTTGTAGTTGGCCACCAGGTTTGCACACATCTCAGGAGGGATCTTCTCCAAGTCATTAAGGTTTCGAGGCTGACGTTTGGCAACTCGAATCTTCAGCTCCCTCCACAGATTTTCTATGGGATTTAGGTCTGGAGACTGGCTAGGCCACTCCAGGACCTTAATGTGCTTCTTCTTGAGCCACTCCTTTGTTGCCTTGGCCGTGTGTTTTGGGTCATTGTCATGCTGGAATACCCATCCACGACCCATTTTCAATTTTCTGGCTGAGGGAAGGAGGTTCTCACCCAAGATTTGACGGTACGTGGCCCCGTCCATCATCCCTTTGATGCGGTGAAGTTGTCCTGTCCCCTTAGCAGAAAAACACCCCCAAAGTATAATGTTTCCACCTCCATGTTTGACGGTGGGGATGGTGTTCTTCGGTTCATAGGCAGCATTCCTCCTCCTCCAAACACGGCGAGTTGCGTTGATGCCAAAAAGCTCCATTTTGATCTCATCTGACCACAACACTTTCACCCAGTTGTCCTCTGAATCATTCAGATGTTCATTGGCAAACTTCAGACGGGCATGTATATGTGCTTTCTTGAGCAGGGAGGACCTTGTGGGCGCTGCAGGATTTCAGTTCTTCACGGCATAGTGTGTTACCAACTGTTTTCTTGGTGACTATGGTCCCAGCTGCCTTGAGATCATTGACAAGATCCTCCCGTGTAGTTCTGGGCTGATTCCTCACCGTTCTCACGATCATTGCAATTCCACGAGGTGAGATCTTGCATGGAGTCCCAGGCCGAGGAAGATTGACAGTTCTTTTATGTTTCTTCCATTTGTGAATAATCGCACCAACTGTTGTCACCTTCTCACTAAGCTGCTTGGCGATGGTCTTGTAGCCCATTCCGGCCTTGTGTAGGTCTACAATCTTGTCCCTGACATCCTTGGATAGCTCTTTGGTCTTGGCCATGGTGGAGAGTTTGGAATCTGATTGATTGCTTCTGTGAACAAGTGTATTTTATACAGGTAACATGTTGAGATTAGGAGCACTCCCTTTAAGAGTGTGCTCCTAATCTCAGCTAGTTACCTGTATAAAAGACACCTGGGAGCTAGAAATCTTTCTGATTGAGAGGGGGTCAAATACTTATTTTTCTCATTAAAATGCAAATCAATTTATAACATTTTTGACATGCGTTTTTCTGGATTTTGTTGTTATTCTGTCTCTCACTGTTCAAATAAACCTACCATTAAAATTATAAACTGATCATTTCTTTGTCAGTGGGCAAACATACAAAATCAGCAGGGGATCAAATACTTTTTTCCCTCACTGTATGAGCGCGAGAGATTGAGCGATGTGTTCAAGCTGGACTGCCTACAATCCATCCTGGGTTTAACTATCCTGTGTTTAACCAATTGGTCAAATGTTAAAAATGTGATTTCCTATTCATTACCGTATGCCCAGATTAATGAAAAGGCTTTGATTTTGTATCTGAATAATAAAGTGATGGTGTCGATGTCAGATGTGGAGTGGGAGAGTATTCCAAACGGTAGGGGCTGTGCATGAGAAATCTCGTCCATCAATGGGACCATGCCCACCACGCTACACCACTGATGACAACACTGTGCCTCTCTGCAATATTGTGTCTGTGTGTGTGTTCTTCTCAGTTCCACTTTGAGGGAGACATGGCAACATTTTATGTGGTTAACTACATGGCGGCCTTGAACCTCAAGGCGCTGTCACGGAAAATTGTCTTTCCCGACAACTATAGGGTGAGTGCGTCGGGGGAGGCAGGAGGCGATAGGCCAACCGCTATACGAGCTGTAAATGTTACATCAGTTGTTTATAGCCCCCCCCCCCCTTCAACTGAAGGGTGACCAGGAGATCACAGCATATCAATCGATTGTTTAATACATCTGTCCAGAGCTTTAAGCGTACTTGACCTGAATGCGTACGTGTTTTTCCCCCGGACAGTGCAGCTTCTGCCTCCAACCTCAATGCTCATTCAGGGAATTTGCCGAACAATCCTAATACAGGATCCTCGTGAACAACAGTCTTGAGGCTGAGCAAGACTCTTCTGGATAATGAGAGGGCATCATTATTATCCTCATGTAGCCTTTCATAGTGGTCCCAAGAGGTTACTTGGTTGTTCCATTGAAATCCCCTGGGATTGCTGGAAAAGACAGCCGAAGTAGACTGGAGGGCTAGGCCAATAGGTGTGCAATTATGTATGGGTTAAATGCATTTCAGCACACAATGCATGCGTTTAGTCACACGTGTAAGAATAATTTGATTTCGGGTTGAATAGCTCATATACCATGTGTGACCACCCGCAGCTATGAGAGATTACAGCACTCGAAATCGTAAAAATATCATAAATCATCAAACTCATTGAATTGTCGGTGGAAGCCGGGATTCATTTAAAGAATCAATTTACTTTTTCATGTCATTTTCATCATTTTGTTTTTACTGCTTCCCATTATTCCCATCTCATATTTACCATTTTCTTTGATCCATTTGCAAAATTGCTGCCATCTTTCCCCCTAGGTAGAAAAATGAAACAGCATAGAACTGAATGTAAATCCAATACTTTACACGTGATTGGTGACCGGGGTCACTGTGGAAAATTAAGCATATTCTGGTCTCTTGAGTTCTCTCTCACATGGTTGCACAACATACACTAGAATTGTGACACATACACAGACATTCCCACGCATAATTTGATGCAACTTTCGCGAGCGAATGGGAGCATCGTCGCATCCCTGTCGGGCTAACGAGGTAAGGCGATCCACATGGGAGGGGGCCGGCGTGCCGGCGGCCAGCTGATCGGTGTCGCTGCTTTGTCCGTGTTGCAGGCAATCGTCTTGATGCGCCCAGTCCTGGGACCACCGTCTCCGCTCTCTGTGGACCTAACGAAGGACGACCGGCGGCTGATCGAGGTGAGGAGGCCATGCGTACAGCCGGCACGCGGCTGCTATGCTCTCAACCATGTTGGTATTTGTAATTGTGTGTATGTATTGGTACATCAGATTGTATGTTGGTATATCAGATTGTTTACGTGTGTTGGTACATCAGAATGTGTCTGTGTTGATACATCAGATTGTGTTGGTACACCAGATTGTACGTGTTAGTACATCAGACGTTATGACCACCACTACCTTCATCATCACATCTACTATCATTACTCTCAACACCATCACCCTCACCATTGGCATCAACTTTATCACCACCAGCACCACCACTCACATAATCATAATCACCTTCATTACCATCATTGTTTGTTACCAACAGGAAGAAGCTGAGCTGCCACAGCCACCCGCATCCATGTCCATGATGGTGCCCAAAGTCATGGCACCCTCTGCTCAGCCTCCGACTGCGCGGCCTCCCAAAGCTCAGCCTCTCATCGCTGTGCCACCCACAACACAGCCATCCAAGAATCAGCTTCCCAATTCTCAGCTTCTCACAGTTGTGCCACCCACACCTCTGCCACCCACACCACTGCCACCCACACCTCTGCCACCCACACCTCTGCCACCCACACCTCTGCCACCCAAAGCTCAGCCTCCTACCACTCTGCCACGCACAGCTCAGCCTCCCACCGCTCTGCCACCCACCCCACTGCCACCCAAGGCTCAGCCTCCCACGGCTCTGCCACCCACCCCACTGCCCCCCACCTCAGCCGATATTCAGCTTCCCACAGTTATGCCACCTACGGCTCGACCTCACAAGGCTCAGCCTCGCGAAGATCGGCCTCTCATCACTCTGCCACCCACACCTCTGCCACCCACAGCTCAGCCTCCCATCGCTCTGCCACCCACACCTCTGCCACCCAAGGCTCAGGCTCCCACAGCTCTGCCTCCCACACCTTTGCCGCCCACCTCAGCCGACATTCAAGGCCTCATCGCGAACTTCCTCAAGGAGTAAGGAGCCTTCCAATTCCCCGCACTCACTCACACAGACACTAGGGTATCCCAGCCTATGCTTTTTTGTAATATTTCATCATCAGGAATTATCAATGCACTGCTGGGTAAATGCTTCCCCAAGCCATCACTATACGACTGCCCTGCAATGGAATAACCTACCTACAATCTCTAGACAAGCTCATTTATTCGCTCCAACTCCTGGACGGCCTTGTCCTTAGGCATGTTCCCTCCCTTGGATGTCACTCAGTACTTAGTCTATATTAATGGCTATTATTCCTTCTGCCAGTGTGTTCTGCTCAAGCCCACTTACTTTTCTTATCAGTTAGAATGGTTTATTTACGCTGCATACGTTGTTTAATCCACGTGTCTCTCATTATTACCGTTTTCCGGTTGGACTGCCTTCCTTCTACAGATTAGTCCCATTATGTTAATTATATCATGAATTTATCATTGTATATAGAAGTGCAGCCCTGTAATTCCTTGCACATTCTACTGCACTAGAGGGAGCTGTAGAGAACCCTCTATCGTGCATTTGGCCTAGTCTTCCACAATGGCCGGACATCTTGGAAGGGTAGGGAGTACCCACACTTGACCCCAACACTGCCAATTGAACTGTGGTGGACAGCTGGCTGGACAGAGGTGGGGGGATTCAATCAGTTTGCACCTTTGCTTCAACGTTCGCATACAGGACATTACACTGGCAACATCTGATTTGGAAGCCCAGAGTAATAACCGTTACACCACTGCATCATCCAATAATTTACGCAACAATTCAGTATTACTCTTTCATCATCACAAGCACGACTGTATACTTGCATCGTGAACAAAAGAGTTGAGTTGATATTATGAATCGATGGATCGCGACACACTCGGTGATTTAAAGTGCGTTGTGTGTGCATTGGCAGGTACTACGGTCTTTATGAAACCGCAGACCGCGAGGGTCTGCTCAAGAAGTATCATAAGGATGCCCTCATCACCATCTACACCCCCTCAGAGTGAGCAAAAAACACACACACACTCACAAACTGGCCAGCAAGGCTGTCACATGAAAGGATGAATTGGTATTTGCCACAGACCGCTCTCGAGAGACCGTGTAACATTGCTTATCATCGGTACAGGCAGTTATAAGCATTAATGACAACTGCTATAGCGTCATAAAAGAGGCCATTTAAAGTGCGCTGAAACGTGCGGAGGTTTTTTCACATAGCCGCAAGCAGCGAATCAGAAGCTTGCTTTAAATGCTTCGAAATGAAATATGGCTTATAAAACTGGAATTAAATCATCAGTTTCTGCAACGATACCAGAAGAAATGCTCTGCGAAAACACAGAAATCAAAGCACACTTGTGGATGCCAGTGTAGCCACTCCGTTTCCTAACGCTCCGGATCTCGTTTCCACATCCAGGAGCAGCCTGGGAGAGGAGGGTACAGACAAGCCGACCCCGGAAGATTCACGTGAGTGTTCGTCATGAGCGATGTTTGCAGATCCGCGCGTCACTGTGTCGCCGCTCATGTCATTCTGTCACCGTGCGCCATGCAGTTTTTTTCTCCTTGCTCCGCACCTCTGATGCAACAGTTGCCTTTGTACAGTGCAAAAGAAGTTTAACATGTGCATATCTGTCGCCACGTACATCACCACAGTTTTGTTGCCCTCCTGCCCCCTCATCCTACAGCACAGCTCAAGTGCGAGCGGCTGACGGCGGAGGACTTCATCAAAGAGCTGACGCACAAGCATCACGATATGTCCTCCTTCACCACCACCGTCAGCCGTGGCACGGTGAGCCAACTGTGGCCTTGTACCAAAACGCCCTCATTGGCATAGTCGCTGGCTCTGCTTAAACACAAATTGCTGAGCTTATGTGGCCTGAGTTACAAACCTTTCCTGTGCACAAGCCCTCAATTTATGCTTAGAATTTTTACTATAATTATTTTGACTTATTCTTTGATACCCTGATGATTATGTAAATATGTTCACCTTTAGCTTGCTACAATATTTAACGTGAATTACGTGTGTAGGGCTCGAAACAAGTGTCACGCGCTGGGTCGATATACGCGCACGTGGCGGACAGTGAGGGCGAACGAGGACACAGGGCGCTGATTGGCTAGCCGTTGTTGTCGTACCAATTAAGGTGGCGTGATAGTTAAGGGGGCTGCAGGACGCAGGCCGCTGATTGGATGAGAGAGACGGTTGTCTGATATTGGCGCCTGCGTGTCTGCAACAACAACGCCACGTGGCACCGGGGACTGGGGAAGAGTGGCGTCGCGGGGGATGACCTAATTAATGAAGGGTAATTGGTTCGGGGATAAAGGGTGAGATGGTAGAGTGAAACGGGAGTTGGTGCCTGGGACGAGATACGAACGGATGGAGAGACTGAGCAGCGGATAGAGTGAGTATAGCATAGCGTAGCAGTGGATAGAAAGAGTGCAGTATAAGGTAGCAGTGGGTAGAGAGAATACAGTATGCGGTAGCAGTGGATAGAGAGAATACAGTATAGAGTAGCAGTGGATGGAGCGAGTACAGCGTAGGATAGCAGCGGAGTAACGGACCTTGGTGGAGAGAGAGATGACGGAGTGGGACGACAGAGTTAATAAAGAGCAGCCGAGGTGGAGAGAGAGAGAGCGGAGAGGAGAATCGCTGGAGGAGCAGAAGGAGAGCGAGCGAAGCCAGCGAAGCCAGCGGAGCGCAGCGAGCGAGCGGAGGGACATTGAGTGATGTTGACGGGGAGTTGCGAGTCGAAGTGTACGGAGGGACATTGAGTGATGTCGACGGAAGAGATGTGGAACTATATAAGTTAATAAAGAACCAAAGAAAGACAAAGAAGCTGTCACTTCAGTACGAGTCAAATACGTGAAAAGTAACTCTTAAGAGAGATTAAAGCCATCTTCTTGGCCTTCAATATACATTATCCCGAGCCTTGACACTCGATCATATTATGATCTCTAGCAACATCTCTCTCTCTCTCTCAAACCTTGACACTAACACAAGCCAAGACTCACACTTACTCTAGCCACAGCACTAACCCTGGCCGAAACCCCAACCCTGCAGTCTCCACCTCTTGGTTTGCTTACAAATGATGGGCCGTCGCGTTTACTTGTGACTCTCACTTTACAGGATACCCAGGTCAACTTCACCGTGCACGGCTTCTTCAAAGAGAGTGAGTATTTGCATAGTCACATTCACCATCAGCAGTAGCATCATCAACAGCATCACTGACATTGCATTTAACTACACCAGGTGCATTCTGCACTGCCTGCCATAAGCACCACCTCACCATTCTAATTGATCCTGCCATGCGGTTTATGCTAATGGCGTGGCTCTCTCTTGACGCCCGTGCACCTTTGTCGTGTGTCGATCCTCAGCCAAGAATTGCCAAGAGTCTGTGAAGATGTTTTGGCGGGTGGTGCAATTGGTGCCAACCATGGACGGCAGGTGAGTCACTTGCACCATGACCAGGGGCGGTGCCAGGATTTTGACTTTGCGGGGGCTGACTTCAATATTCTGAGATATCCAGTGAATGTTTTCCAATGGGT